ATCATCATCATCAGCAGCAGCAGCAGCATCATCATCATCTTCAACATCATCATCATCATCAGCAGCAGCAGCATCAGCATCAGCATCAGCATCAGCAGCAGCAGCAGCATCATCATCATCATCAGCATCATCATCGCCAAGATCATCATAATCAGCATCAGCATCAGCATCAGCATCAGCATCAGCATCATCAGCATCATCAGCATCATCATCATCAGCATCAGCATCATCAGCATCAGCATCATCATCAATACCCACCATCATCATGCCCCACGGCCAATCCCTGCAATTGGCCATCGACGACGTGGCTGGCACCAAGGTGTGGCTTGGCGTCTCCCCCTCCCGCTACCGGCCTGGTGACGCCTCGTTTCGCTTCTCGGCCCCGAGGGTGCCAAAGGCACGTGCAGCTGGTTCGAGCCCGCCGCCGCCACCACCACGGCGCGTGTCTTGCAGCTCATTGAGGGCCAGACGGTCCCCGTGGCCTTGATCCTCCCAGGCGGCCTCGAGCGTTGGCTTGGCATCGTGGCAGCCGCGGAGGAGCGGCACGCCGTGGACGGACGCCGCCAGGCTGTCTTGGCGTGGGCCCGAAGCACATGGCCTTGGGAGCCCGAGCGCTGCACCACTCGACGAAGCCACGCGGCCGGTGCTTGGAGCAGGTCAACTGCGACGGCGCGCTGGCGTCACCGCAGGCGGCGGCCGAGCATCAGATGGAGGACTGGGCGCAGATCTGGAACGCCCACTCCGTCACAACTCTGGCCACCTGGGACGACATCAGCGGGGGCCGCGGCCCAGCCGAGGGCCTCTCAGGTAGCCTCGCCTGACCTCCAGAGGCCACCCCGCGGCGCCCGCCTCCGACAGGCTGCCAGCTCATGATGATGGGCGCGGGCGAGTTCAGCAGCTCCGGGATGCCATGCGCAGCTGCGTGGAGCCCCTCCAGCCGCTGTCGGCCCAGCGCCTCTGGGACGTATCGCGCACCTTCTGGTGGCGAGCGGGCTGGGGGCCTGACCAGCTGCACCAGCGCATGATCTCGCTTCTATCGGGGATGGACAGAACCCCCTTTAGTAAAACGTGGTTTAGTGAAAACGACCTCGGGCCCAAACCTTGCCGGCGCAAGCCTGGAAAATGACAACCGCGGCGCCCTCTCGAGAAACAAAAACGGACAATCCACTAATCGACGTGTCAGGGTGGGGGTTCTGTCGACCCCCGCTTCGCAACGACGAGGCCATCGCCTTCCCTGGGCCACATGCTTCACAGGAACCGGTGGCCCAGCGCCACCACGGCCGCCCACATACTACTTCTTCCCAAAACCCTCGGCGGCGTCCGGCCGCACGCGCTGCTCAAGGCTTTGTACAGGATCAGGGCGCGTGCCCAGCTCATCGAAGTCAGGCGTTGGATCCAGGACTCCGGCACGCGGGACCACCTGGGCTTGGCAGGCCGCAGTCGACACCACGGCCTCCAGCGCGCCGCTCCACGCAGAGGCGTAATTACCCCGCGGGCGACGTGGACTCGGGCGTCGTCATCGCGGCGCTCACTGGCATCGAGAAGTGCTGCGACCGCCCACGCTGGCCGAGCATCGTCCTGGCGGCGAGGGCTCACCACATCCCCATGGACAGCGTGCGCGCCGCCCTCGCCGTGCGCTTCGCGCCCCGCCGGCTGCAGCGGTGCTCGGCGCATTGCAGTCCCTGACTTTCCAGAGAGCTATGTTTTAGCACGGGAGGCTTACAAACCTAAAAAACAAAACGAAACAGCCTAACACCAAGGCATAGAATAGCTCTGGGATAGGTTTTTAAGTCGCGTGCTATTTCTAAGCCCTCCTGGAAGGTCAGGGGTGCGGTATCAGCCTTTTGCGGCGTCCTTCGGTCCGGGCGAAAGGGGGGGATAGCAGAGGGGAGGTTTGACAACCAGCTCACGCAGCTGATTTTCCCGGCGCCTCCCGGAGCCGGGAGGCGCCCATGCATCGAGGAATGGGCCCGGCGGCGGGGCCGGAACCAGCTGCATGCAGCAGATTTCCCTATCCCCCCCTTTCGTTCGGCCCGAGTCCTTCCTGGATGCGCACTGGCCAGCACGCTGTTGCAGCTGGCGATGCTCACGCGCATTGGTGAGCTCCTGCGCCTGACCGCACGCCAGCCGCGGACGCTGGCCATCTACGCCGACGACCTGACGGTGCAGATCCGCGCGGCCCTGCGGATTCTCATGGAGCGGGCGACGGACTTCCCGGAGCAGCCCGACCTCGATTGGCGGCGCGCAGAGGGAGGTATGGGGGAGGGGGGAGAGGAGGCTCCTTGGACAGAGGCTGCTTCTTAGGAGGCGCCGGCCTCACATCTGGGCAAATCTCGCGCCTTCCGAGAAGCAGGGGGGCTTCTGAGAAGCCTCCCCCGCTCCCCCCCCCTTATGCCCCCCTCCGCGCGCGGCCGCACCGAGCAGCGCAAGGCTCGGCGGCGACGTCCTCTCGGAGGCAGGTCGCGCGAGAGGTCGCTCGCCGCCCGCGGCGCCATGGCCTCCCTGCCTGCCGGGCGCTGGAGGCCCTTGGCGCCGAGGCCCGCCCGCGGAGAGGACGCTCCGCGCTTCCTCCCGGCGCCCGCGGGCGCGGCGGGTCCGCGCCAGGCTGCCGTGCCCCCGGCGACTCCGCGGCTCCGGCGCGCCGTTGGGGCGCTCGACGCGCGCCTCCCCTGACCTTCCAGGAGGGCTAAAAAATAGCACCCGACCTAAAAACCTACCCTAGAGCTATTCTACGTCTTGGTTTTAGGCGGTTTCGCTCAGCTTTTTAGGCTTTTAGGTCTCCAGTGCAAACAAGAAAAAACTCTCTGGAAGGTCAGGGTCGCTTCCTGCAGCCCTCCAGCACAGTTTGCCTTCCACGGGGGCTCCGCCGACCTTGGTCGCCATGATTCTGGACGCCCGACACGGGTGCGGAAACCATGGGTACGATGCCCCACGTCAACTGTTGTCCAGAGCGGACAGCGGCCGCTGTTGGACAGGCGGCCTTCTGTCCCAGATGGACAGCGGCCGCGGCGACGCCAACAGCGAGCCGTGCTCAGAACGGACCAGAACCTGCTGTTGGGCTTTGCACACACGTTTTTCGCACCCATGCCAGCCGTCCCGAGTGATGCGGCGCAAGCTCCGGCAGGGCCGGGGCAGGCTGGCAGCGGGTTCTTCGACCTGGCTGGCAGCGCGCCTGGGGCCAGCCGCCCACGCCTGACCGCAGCTCGCGGCGTGGGCGCAGCCCCTCCTCGGCTGCGCCCCGGTGGCCAAGGATCCGAGAATGGACATCGCGGGCATGCAGCAAGCGTGGCGGCGACAGGCCCACTCCTCGGGCGGGTGGCAATAGGGGATGACTTGGATGCAGGAGAGGCTCCCAAAGGAGCCCTTTCGAGCCCCGTTTGGAGCCAGCAGGGACCCACAAGGGGCTTTAAAAGGCCCTTCAGGGCCATTCTCTTCACCCCCCGTTGAGGCATCCCCCCATTACCACCCGCCTGACCTCCGCTCTTCTGGCCCCCAGCCCTCGGAGTAATTCGTTCGGGTCGTGGGTCCCGCTTGCGCGGCATCTTGGGGCTGAGAGGCCTGGGCTGGGTCGCTTCCTCCGCCCTCGCCCGGCGCACCGACGAGGGCGACATGCCGGACCTCTGCGCGGCGGCCCCTCCTGAAGGGGCCCTGGGACACACAAATAAATACACACAAATAAGAAGATTCCCCATATTTCTCATATTTTCTGGGTTTTTGTCTTCCCCCCCACTTGTCATATTTTCCCATGTTTTCTGGGGAATCGACGATTAATTGTGTCTGTGTGTTTTTTCCCCTCCTGACCTTCCAGTCCAGCAGCTGGCGACGCAGCCCGCCGCGCGCGCCACGTGGCGGCGCGGGGCAGCCACGCCCAGCTCGGCGCCCGAGCTGGGCCCAGTGCGCTGTGGCACCCGCAGGCCTGCCGGCGGAACTTTTATGGCCGCGCTGCGGCACGGGCCCGCCGCCCGGCTGGCAGCTCACCGCATTCGGGGATGCACTGACCTGGGGTAGACCTAGGGGGCCGCATGCGAACCCTACCCCTGCCCCCCACGATTTCTGAGGGGGAGGGTGGGGTTCACTTCGCTCGGGGGAGATCCCGAGCGAGATGAACCCCACCCTCCCCCTCAGAAATCGTGGGGGGTAGAGGTAGGGTTCGCATGTGGCCCCCTAAAACCCAGACCCCGGTCAGTCAGGCTCTGCAAGATCCTGCAAGCTCGTGCAGGATCCTGCACGCCGACTCGGGTCAGTGCAGCCCTGGCCCTGCAGGATCCTGCAAGATCCGGCGCTCTGCCCCCCGTTTGCATTGACCCCCGTCTCTTGAGCCCCGACGAATCTGGCCATGGCACAGTCCGGTCTCTCGCTTGCGGTGCCAACTGGTCCCAGGCCAGGCTGCATGGGCACGGCTGCGCGGCCGACGTGCTCCGCCAACGATGCGGGGCCACGTCGGGGACGTCCGAGCACCGCTGCTGGCAATGCGAGCCTTGTCAGCCCGAGCAGGCGCTTGCGCTGGACGAGGTCTGATCAACGCCGCACATCGTGCAGAACGACCCGCGCTGGGCACGACTGCAGGTTCCGCTATCCTCGCTACACGTCGGTCGGAAGGAAGTGGGCAGACACATGAAGTAGGAAGGCGTTGGAGTAGATTGTGTCTCCGCGCACCCCCTGGAGAGGAGGGAAAAGTGAAAACCGCCCGATCCTTGACGAAGGAGGGCGCCTAAAATAGATATGGTATCCGGGAATCCTAAATTACCTACTTCCAGCGACCGGCGTGTTCCTGTGCTACCTGCTCGTGATGACAGCGGCCGCTGGCACGCACTGCTGGCCGCCCCGGGCTTCGTGGTCACTGGCCCCATCTATGCCGACGGCTCGTGCCTGCAGCTCTGGAGCCGTCCGCAAGCTGCGCGGGCGGGCTGGGGTCTCGTCATCCTCGAAGACCTCAGGGCCATTAGCGGCTACCACGGTGCGCTGCCCGAGCCAGTCCTTTCTTAGCCCAGGGCCGAGCTCTAGACGTAATTCAAGCTCTGCTTGTGGCCGTTCCGCTTCTTTGTATCCACACGGAGTACCTGGAGATTAGCCTCGGTTTGGCGCGCGGGCGCGCGTGGGCGCACCGCCCCAGGCGCTTGAATCTTTGAGCTCCCTCCTCCTCCTCCTCCTCCTCCTCCTCCTCCTCCTCCTCCTCCTCCTCCTCCTCCTCTTTTCCTCACCCGCGCACGCGACCCGAAAACAGGCCCACCTCGATCAAGATGGGTCGGTTTCGGCGGTCGGCGCGGCTGGCGGACAGACCTCCCCGGATGTTGGAGAGCCTCCGCGCAAGCGATTGCGTTTCGCAGCGGACATCGGGTCGTCGAAGTGCAGTCCGGCCACGTCCACCGCCCCCCAGGCGATGGTGGCTGCCGCGGCCCTTCTAGCTGGAGCGGCGCTGACGGCTTCAGTGCCTTCCCCATCCTCCGAACCTCGGTGGCGGCCAAGAGGGGGGCGTCCAAGAGGGGGGGGTGCAAATCATTGTCCGAGGCCTGTGCGCGGACCAGAGGGGGCCAGGGAACGTATTGAAGTAAGAAGAAAGGCTATGAAATCTGGGGAGATATCATGGCCCCCGCCATGACATCCAACCCCCCCTAATCATCACCCCCCCTCTTGGCCGTCCCCGAGAACCGTCGGTTGGATCCTCATCTGGAGCTCAGGCGACGGATCCTGCCTCGAGCGGGACTGGCGCGGATTTCCCTGGAGGCCTGGGACTGCCGCGCCATTGCGGGGTCTGAGGCGTTCTGCTTCTGCTCCTCTGGCCCGTGCCGTACGGCCCCAGAAGTCCGCGACACCGGAACCAGCCCCCAAAGCTGGCACAAACGTCACAATCCCTTTCTCCTCCTCCTGCTCCTCGAACTCCTACTCCTCCTCATGCTCCGCCTCGTCGTTATCCTGCCCTTCATCCTTCGAACCATCTTCGTCTTCCTCCTCCGCTTCATCTCCCTCCCCGGGTCGCATGTTAGAGGTTAGAGCTTGGCTGGACTTCCACCGCCTGCGACTGGCGGATCCCCCAGCGCTCTTGCGCCCACTCGGCCGCGGACCAGGCCTGCGGGCCCGCCAGGGAATGCGGCACCCCTGGCCATCGCTCGGACGTCCCTTTCCTGTGCTCTTTTCGGTTTCAAGCGTGTTTTTCGCCAAATGGTCAAGGATGCTCCTCGATGGTCCTCGCCGAAGGAGAAATGCACACGTCCGAGCGATGCCAAGACCCAGGCCCGTGCAATTCTGGGGGGGCGGGCAGCCCGGGGCGAATTTGCGGCGACCCCGCCGGCTGCGCCCCCGCCCCCGAGTCTGGCCCCCGTGCCGCCGGGGGCGTGCGGCGCGCACAGGCTCGTGGGCGAGGGCGACGCTGTGGCGCGACCCGCGGTGGCCTTCTGCTGCCATGCGACCCGCGCGACCTCCATCGCCAGCCGAACGAGCGGCGGGGCTTTCGTCCCGCCGACCCTGAGGTTGTGAGTCACGACCGTCGTGCCGTCATCGTCAGCGATGAAGCTCTGGCATGGCTCGCGTGACCAGTTTGTGTGTGAGCATGCTATGTTGTCGCCTGCACTGAGGCGTGGAGAGGACGCCCTGGCCGCGATGTTCATCTGGGCCGTTGGGCCGCCTCCTCACTCGTGTCGCTAATTCGACACGCGCGGCGGTCGATCCGAACACGATCCCCATCAGCATTGTCATCGTAATCATTATCATAAGCAGCATCATCAGCAGCAGCAGCAGCATCATCATCATCCTCATCATCATCCTCATCATTATCATCCTCATCAGCATCATCACATCATCACCACCAACATCATCATGAGCATGATCAAGATCATGATCATGATCATCATCCTCACCATCATCATCATCGCCACCGGCAGCACCACCGGCAGCACCATCATCATGCTCATCATAATCATCATCATAATCATCAGCAGCATCATCATCTTCATCACCAGCATGATCCTCCTCATCCTCCTCATCATCATAAGCCTCATCCTGATCCTCATCCTCAACAGCATCAGCAGCATCATCATCAGCAGGATCATCATCCCAATCAACATCACCATCATATTCACCATCACCATCACCATGAGCATCATCATCATCGCACATTTCACCATCATCATGATCATCAGCATGATCATGATAATCATCATCAGCAACAACATCATCAACAACATCGTCAACATCAACATCATCATGTAATCGGAATCATCATCAAGATCATCATCATCGCCATCATCATGCTCATCCGCAACTGCATCCTCATCCTTATCTTCAACGTGCACATCAACAGCATCTGTCGGCATAACCATCACAAGCAGCAGCAGCATCAGCATCAATATCGACATAAGCATAAACATAACCAGCATGATCAACAGTCTCGTCATTATCAACATCAACATCGACAACAGCATGATTCCCGTCAGCATCAGCATGATTATCATCATCATCACCATCAACACCATGAACATCGCCATCAACAGCACCGTCATCATCATCATCATCATTATCATCATCACACTCATCATCATCGCCATCACCATCACACTCCATCATCACCCACCATCATCATTAACATCACCACCGCTACAATCATCAGCATCATCAGCAGTAACAACAGTAGCAACCGTATCACCATCACCAACATAAGCAGTTTGATTACCAACACCGACATAAACATCACCATCAACGATATCATCAACATCATCATCACCGTCGTCAAAATAATCAACGTCATCCTCAACCTCATCATCATCATCAACACCATCGTCATCATCATTATCAGCACCATCATCATAGTCAGCATGATTGTCACAGCATCACCATCATCATCGTCAGCATCGCAACCATCAGCATCATCATCATCGTCATCAGCATTACCATCATCAGCATCATCATCAGCATCCCCATCGTCACCATCACCATCACCAGTATCAAACTCATCGTCGTCAGCATCACCACCATCAGCATCGTCATCATCACCACCATCACCACCATCATCACCATCAGCAGCATCAGCAGAATCAGCATCAAGAGTCTCATCATCATCATCATCAGCAGAATCATCATCCTTATCCTGATACGCTTCATCATCCTCTTCCACATCCACATCCTGAATATCGTCCTCATCCTCCTCCTCATGCACATCCACAGCCTCCCCATCCGCAACCTCATGTTCGCCCTCAGCCTCATCCTAATCATCATCACAATCATCATCATCATCATCATCATCATCATCATCATCATCATCATCATTCTCTTCCTCCTCCTCATCATCATCGCCATCATGACCATCACCACCACCACCATCACCATCATCAGCATCAGCATCATCAGCAGCATCTTCATGATCATCAAGATCGTCATGATCAAACTCATCATCCCCATGTCCTTGTAGGGGTGGAACGCGGGCCTGTTCGGATTTGCGCAAGGGGCGGCCATGCAACGGTTGTCCCCCACGAGCTCGAAGTCGTTGATCATCTCGATGCCCAGGGTTGGCATGCAATTCTGGGGGGGGTGTCCATGGAGGGAGGAGGGAGAGGAGGACGGGGATAGAGGAGGGGAAGGAGGGAAGGCGAGGGTAGGGAGGGAGGGAGCAAGGGCGGGATAAGGGAGGGAGGGAGGGAGGAAGGGATGACGGAGGGATGAGATAGGGAGGTAGGGAGGGGGGAGGGGGGAGGGATGTATAGGGGAGGAGGGAAGGTCGATGGAGGAGGGATGGAGGAGGGTAATCAGCTGGTTTGGGGAGGTCCCAACGGCGTACAACAAGTGTTTCCAGGAGGGGCTGGGACTGTTCTAAAAACGGCTCTGCTGAGTTCTGGGGGCTTCGAAGGCGGGACGTTCAAGCTCGCAGGGCAGGCGGGAGGATCCCTCGCATTGTCGCCCCTCCCCCCTCCCTCCTCCCCCCATGCTCTGGTCCCCCTCCATGCTATCCTCCGTCCTCCATTCCTCGCACTGCTCGAGAGGATGTAAGCAGAGCACGATGTGACAAGAAGGCAAAAGGAGGGAGGAAGGGAACGAGGGGGGACGGAGACGGGGACGGAGGCGGGAGTGGGGATGGGCGAGATGCGGTGTCATTGGCTTGAGGAGGAGGCCTCAAAGGAAAAGTCCAAACTGCCCACGCTGCAAGCTGCAAACACGTGGCGGCATCAATAGTTGTAGGCCGCCACCAAAAATAGGGTGGCTGGGGTGGAAAAACATCAAGGCAGCACACCCGTGAAAGAGACGCGGGCGCTGGTCTGCGAAAAGAAGAAGCAGCGATGGATTCCAAAAGGCATCGCGGTGCCGTGGCAGGGCACTTACTAAGATATTATCCCACGCCCTTACTGAGATATTATCCCGGACTCGCTCTTACCTACAGGGCACGCATGGTTAGCGCGCGCTCTCCAGAGACACTCTTGAAAAAGGCGACAAGCCCGGCCTCCCGAATGGCGTGGGAGCGGCGGATACCGTGGACCACGATGGTCCGTGGCGAATTTCGAACGGCCAAAACACCCAAACACGCGGCGACGCGGTTGAGCAGACTGACACCAGACCTCTCAACCTTTTTCCCAAAGCCATCCTCCCATGACGATTATTTTGTTTACGGTCGCCTGGCTCAGAACGCCACCCGGGAAACCGAAAAGGGCGAAAAAGTGTGGCGATCCAGATGCGGGACGCAATTTATTGCAACGCCGCAAAATCACCTCGCCTCTCTTGGATGAACCCTGCGCTTGGCAAGCGAACGCGGCACGCGAGAAAGACTTCACAGTCAGCAGTCGACCCTGGCCCTCAAGGGCGTCGAATGTCGATCAAAGGGTCGAGGATCGAAAGGTACAACATACAGTCTACTCCTCTCGGTCGAACTGACGGCCTGTCCCTAAATGCAGGGCCGTGACCGCCCCGCCACAGCGGGGACGCAAGCTCTACGCCACAACACTGGTCATGCCCAGGCCCCTCCTGCACCCAGAACCGGCGTATCCAGGTCGCATAACTTCGCGCGTCGCGCCCCGTGATG